CGTCTGTTCTGGGCCCTCGGGCCACGTCCAGCTCCTGGGACAGTCCGAATCATCCAGCCGAGGGGCGTCTGTGGGCAGGGGCGTGGGATGCAGAGAGGCTAGACGGGGACGGTGAGGAATGACCCTCCCTCGACGACACGGCCAGGGACCATGCAGGTCCTTGGAGGTCAGGAGGAGCGGGGCGAGGGGTTAAGACCAACTCACATAGGACGCGAAGCTCAGCGCTCCTGTTCTTGCTCAGGGTCTCGCCGTCCACCTCGAGGGTGGCAGCGCAGAAGAATCCGCGCCTGTCGTCGTCGGCGGTGGCATTTAGCTGTAGCTGGGCAGGCTGCCCCGGGACCTCGGCTGGAATTCCCTCCAGTGTGACCAGGGCTTGGGCTCCGGCTGCGCAGGTTACTGTCACCGTCTTCCCCTCCGGTACGCTGGGCTCGCTCAGGGTCAGGAGGGGCTCTGGGAAGCCTGGAGGCGGAGCACTGGCTGGGGTCCGCTGACCACGCCCCTCCCGCCGGTCAAGGCCCGCCCTTTATTTGCCCAAACCCAGAGCATCACGCCCCGCCTCTCAGGCTCCGCCTCTCCAGCTGTTCAGTCTCTGTGCTCCGTCTGCCCCACCCCTTTGGGGGACTCTCGGGCCACGCCTGTTCCGGAACTGAGGCCCCGCCCACTCTTCGCCCCGCCTTTGCGTTCCTCTGGTCCCACCTCCGAGCCACAGTTGTCTCCACCCCCAACTCCCTCCCCCCTCTCCTTCTTACTGTAAATGGTCAGGTTCTCCCGGGTCTCGCGGCTTTCGCCCCCCAGGGTCACACTGCAGACCAGCTGCTTGGCACCCTCTTGCTCGGCGCTAGCTGTGGCTGTGGCAGTGGCCATTAGTGCGTCCCCCTCCAGGATGACATCGGGACTCAGCCTCTGGTCCCCCAGCGCGAGGTATACCCTGGCCTCTGAGGCCGGAAACAGTCCGTCCAGGGCGCAGGTCACGGGCTTTTCAGAACCTACTTCCAAGAGCCGGGGAGCAGCGAGGCGCGGGGAGTCCGGGGACAGGGCTAGGGGTCGAAGCACCGAGCTTGAGCGAACTTATGTACTGAGCACTCAGTACTTACTAAGCACTTTATATGCACTATTTTATGTTATTATCACCCTCAAGGCACAGAGAGGGAAACAGTTGGTGAGTGTTGAAGGATTAGCATTCAGATGTATCTGTCTCGAAACTTCTTAAAAACCCGCCCGACTCCACTTGGTCCCCATGTCCACCCCACACCTACTCACAGAAGGTTCGGAGCTCTCTGGGGGCCGAGCTGTTTTCAAACAGTCCCAGGCCGTGTGGCCGCAGATCCAGCTCCGCGCGGCACGAGAAATTGGCCCCATGGTCCTCCCTCCGAGCCAGTACAGTGGCTGTGAGCACCGCGCCCCGCGCTCGGGGTGGCTCGCCGGCGAAGCTGCGGCGGATCAGCTCTTGGGTGCCCCGCAGCAGGGTCAGTGTGAGGCTCCCCCGGGGCCCGGCGCCGGGGACCCTACAGCTCAGAGTAAAGTTCTCCCCCACGGGCTGCCACGGAGGCAGTGGCACCAGCTCTACGCGATCTGGCCGCTCTGCAAGGGAGGAACCGCGGCTCTTGGGACGCCGGGCTTAGTGGGACTTGGCGTGGAACCCAGGGGAGCCTGGTCCAAGACCAGAAGGCTTGGAGATCCAGAGGGTGGGGCCTGAAGGGGAGGACCCTGGGACCCGGGGGGTGGGGCCTGGAAGGGAGGGAAAGTAGTAGAGTACGCGCGCGGCCACCCAGAACTCACGGAAAGTGCGAATGAGCCCACGCGCCTGTAGTGTGCGCCGCGCGCAGCGGAAGAAGCAGACGGGCTGGGTCTCCGGCTCGCGGATGTCCACCAGCTGCCGCGCCAACCAGCGCAAACCCCTCTGGGTCCCGTTTCGGCGCAGCGAGGTCTCCAGGCCACCGCGTTCCGGCCGAGGGCAGTTAGTGCTGCAATTCAGCCACAGCGAGCCCCCGCGCTCCACAAGCGCCACGCGGGGCTGCAGATCCGCCCAGAAGGGCTCCTGCGCGACCGCTGCCCAGGGAAACGTGGGCTCAGCCTGGGGAGCCAACTCCCTGAGATCTTAGCGCCCCTACGCCGAGTCAAGCGTTCCCGGGGAACGAACAGAGGCCACAGCCAGGAAAGAACCCAGGAGTCCCGCGTCCTGCCCAGGCCTCGAGTTTGGAGGCGCGCGCTCCCAGAGTCTAAACCTCGAGGGTGTCTCTGGGACGTGGCAGCAGAGAGCCCTGGTCTCCAAGGCGCCGATGAAGCGGTGGGAAAACACGAGGGAAGGGGGGAGACGAAAGGAAAGATGGGGTCTTCGATGCACACAGCAATACCGGGAGAAGGGGACCCCGGGTGGGGGAGGAGGAATGAACCGGTTCTCGAGTTCTGGCACATTGCCGGGAGGGAAGGAGACTGAGGTTGGGCGAGGGCAAAGGAGATATGAGACTGGGTGAAGGATAAGGAAGGACCCTAAACCTGGGTGGGGAACATGGAAAGAGGACGAGGGCCTGGGCCGGTGGAAGGAACCGCGGGAACAGCCGAGGGAGCCGGTTGCCAGGGCTCCCGGTGGAGCGGGAACAGCGCCTCTGAGTCACGGTAGTTGGAGAGATGGAGTCTTCGCGGACCGCGAGTGAAGAAGATGCCAGTCCGTGGACCATGGTGCACAGCAGAGCGGGAGGAGGTACCCGGGGAGGGGACACGAGAGCCACGGGGTCTCCAGGGCGCGGGGTTGGGCGCGGAAGAGCGCCCAGGGTCTCCGAGGGGGTAGGGGCGAGCGAGGAGTCAGGAAGCTGGGTCTTTCGGTGTGTGTTGGGGGCGCGGGGGAGAGGGGAGAGGACCCGGCTCGAGGCGGGGACAGAAGCGTGGGAGCGAGGCGAGGGCGGAGCCGGGAGGGGCACAGGGCCGCTTCCCGGGTCCGGCAGCTCCGCCCCCGCCCTGTCCACCCCGAGCTGGGGCGGGCTCTTACCTGAGAGGCCGAGGAACCCCAGGCCCAGGGCAGCCCAGAGGCCGAGTAGCGCCCGGCGCAGCCCTGGCGAAGGCCCTGGCATCGCCGCCGCGGGGGAAGCGCAGGAGGCGAGGGGAGCGCGAGCGAGGAGCTGGGCTAGAGGACGGCGCGGCGCGGCGCGGCGGGTGGGGTGTGGGGGAGGCAGAGTTGCGCTCAGGGATTGGTTTAACGTTGGTAACTTGGTTTCCAAGGAGGGGGCGGCGGCAGAGGCGGCGGGGGGGCGGCAGGCGAGCGTGCGCTAAGCTCCTGGCCTTGGCGAAGGCAGGCTGGCAGGAGCGAGCGACCCCCAGGGTCTACGCGGCGGCCGACCTGATCGCCCGGAGCCTTCTGGGGGCGACCACGCTCTCCCGCGTCATCCTCAGCCGCGACTCGGAGGTCGGGGGATGCTGGGTTGCCCTTCTCAAACCCCCTCCCCAGCTCTGGTTTGGATGCTATGATAATGAGCTGGACTCCGAGCTCCGCCCCCATCGTTAGCTCCTCCTACCAGCTCCCCTTAGGGCAGGGATTGATTTGGGGGCTTGGAGAGGTTTTGGAAGCACAGGATGGAGAAAGGACAGTTCTAGCGGAGAGCGTGGGGATGCCACCCTCACTGATGCTTCTCCTTTTATACTTGATCTTAGCCAAAAGGCCGAGAAGCGATGATGCTTCTCCTTTTGACCCCGCGGAGCCACACCCCTAATCCCCCTCCCGCTCGGCCCCAGCACGCGACGGAGGGGGCGGGACGAAAGCGCCAGCGAGTTGGGGACACGGGTGCGTGCGCGCAGCGTTCGCGGGCGTCTAAATCAGAATCGGCTCAGCTCGGGGTCTGTATTTACCCAGCGTGCAGCGGGCACGTGTCTACTCGGCATGTGTGAGCGCGAATCCGCCTTCCGCGCCGGCGGGCGGGGCCCTGGATCGCCCCGGCTCTGCTAGGCACCCAGGATGGGCCTGGATTCTGCCTCCACGCGAGACCGAGAGACCGACAATGACGCTTTTAACCCCGCATCCGGGCGCCCAGGCTTTGACACCCGCCGCATGTGCCCACCTGGTCTGGTGACTACAAGGACATTGCCAGGACGCAAGTCTGTGGCATTCCATGTGGATCATCTGATTACCCCTTCCCGCTGTCACTATATGGACACCTCTTCTGCGAATCCATGTCCCTCTGTATGTCCGTGTGACCCACATGTGTGGTCTCACCCCCAGCGTTAATGGTGAACTCTGGCTACACGCACGGTTGGGTTGATTTCCAGGGAAGCACCAGGTCTAACCTGGAGGTGGGGTTAGGACGGGAAACTTAGCATCCAATCAGAGCTGCTGCGTGGGAGCGGCAGAGCCAATCAGGAAAAGCCATACCATGAACCCGCCCCCCTCCCCCCCTACTCCCGCCCGTGGCCCTCCCCAGCCCTTGCTTAGCCCGTCTGCACCCCTTGGGTAATGCCAGCAGGAGAGGTTTTTCCTACGCCAGCTGGAAGTGCAGGACTGGGGATCCAGGACCCCAGTGGGCCCTGAGTGAGAAAACCTCAGCTGCCCTCAGGGAGACAAGGAACTTGGAGAAAGTGACTAGCAGGGGGGCCAAAAAAGGAGACCACTTCCTGCCAGCAGATGCAGTAATGGGGACCCTGAGGCCTTGAGACAAAGGTTGGCTGAGGAAAGCTTTATTGATCCGGGAGGGTTCCCCGCATTGTTCCAGATTCTTCTTTTCCCCTGTTCAGCCGGCATAGAACGCCCCCTCTACGCCCGAGACGAGACCGAATCGCTAGGCACCTGCGCAGGTAGGCAGCCCCCACGGCGACAAGGATGACCACAAGCACTGCGATGGAAGTGAAGGCCAAGGCTTTGGACGCGGGGCTCCAAGCTGGGAGCAGGAGGTGAGAGTTAGGGACGGAGCACGTGGAGGCCTGATGACTCGCGTGGAGCTCACGCTTGCTCTGTCTGTGCGCCCTCCTAGGGTCATAACCCTGTCTCCCCCCACTCCGTCCCCAAGTCTCGAGGGTTACAAGGGGGCCTCACCGAGCGTCAGCGTAATGGGTGCTGAGCTGCTGCCAACCACCAGGCCGTCGAGATTGAGGCGCGCGAGGCAGGTCACAGGCTGCCCGAAGTCGCGGAGTCCGGCGTGAAACGCGTGGGTCAGCGTCACGTTGGCCGGATCCAGGCCAGTGAAGCGCTCCAGGCTTTCAGAATAGATGACCCGGCCGCCGCGCCTCAGGGTCACCACCAAGAAGCCCACGGGGAACACGCGCATCACGTGACAGCGCAGAGTATACATGCCACCCTCTAAGACCGGAGGCTCCAGTATGACGCTGTGCGGTGCTTCTAAGGCAAGAGGGAGCCCCTGAGTCAGGTCCTCGGGCGCCCCCTAGACCGACTATCAGCTACGCCCCGCTCCTCCGGACCCCTCCCCCCTCCCCCCGGCCGGGGCTGAGCCCTGTCCCTCACTGTAGGTGATGATCCTGGCGGTGGCCCCGCGCGTTTCTCCTGCGCAGGTGACGAAGCAGCGCACGTCGGAGCTCCAGGCCCTCACGTCGAGCAGCTGGTAAGATACCCAACCCGGCCCACTGAACGTCTCGCCCCGCCGCAGCTGGGTGTGGAGGCTGGAATTCGGCGGCAGGGGGCAGCTGTTGCTGCAGTTGAGCCACACTGAGACCCCCGGCCGCACGGCCACGGACTGCGGGCTTATGCGCACCCAGAATGACGCTGAGGTCCCAGAGGGTGCGGGAGGGCTGTCCCTGCGGCCTTGTGACCGCCTAGCCCGGCGCCCCTGTACTGTCCCACTTCCCCAGTATGCGGCCGCCAACAAAAGCAGCAGCGACAGGGGGAACACAGACCCCATGGCAAAGAGCCGGGACTGAGGGGCCCCACGCCAGAGAGCGGGAGCTGGCTTCGGAGATAAGAAGGCCCTGAGCGCCGCCTCCTCCACCCCGCCCCCAGACAGAAGGGAGGCCCCTGAGGGCCCAGGAGCCTTGCAAACAATACTGCCTTCCTTTAGCTCCACAGTGGGATTCCAGACCCCGTTGTAAGCCAAAGAGCATCGCCTTTTTCTGGAGATGAGACTTTAGTTTTCACTAGAGTCCCAAAAGGTCATAAAAACCCCCAGATTTGGACCAGAGCCTCAGCGTTTGGCCTTGAACCCACATCCTTTTCTTGGGGGAGGAAGTGGGAGGACAGGGCTGCCGCATAGCTGTTTAGAAAGGGCTCCAGCTGGACACGACACCTCCCCTCCATTCACACAAGTCTGAGAGGATGACAAAGCTTTATTAGCACAGAGGAGAGGCTTCCAGAGGTGGCTGGGAGGGGGTCCTGTAAGGCCTCAGCCCCTCCCCCAACTGCTTGCAGGGCCCTGGTCGCTCCAGGAATTTGGAGCTGCCGAGCATTCTGTTCCCTTGTGGTTCCACTGAGACGGAAACAGGTGGGACAAGGCGACACACAGGGGTTGGACACAGTTTCATGGCAGTCCATGGTTTAGCTGTCAAGGCACCCATGTGTCTTCCGACAGACTCAGATCACCCATGTTTGGGCATGGCCGTTGTGAACACTGGCAGAGACACATGTGGGTGGGGAGGTGACTAACAAAGGTCAGTGTCAGTGCTGGGGGTGGGGTGGGTGGGTAAGGACTCACTGGGTGGTCCCTGAGCATGTAACCATTGCTAGTCCCTGTAGTGCCTTTGTGCCAGATAGAAAAATCACCCTTCCCGGAGAAAGGTGATTATGGACCTTTGAAGGACAATGAAGTGTGAAACTGATCTTTTTGTGCAGTGCACAGCCTGTACAACTGTCCCTGGAGGCCCTGAATGAGATTAGACTGGGAGCTCCGTGAAGGCAGGAACCTCTATATTCAACTTGTTCATCGTCTTAGCCTACACAAAAGGCATTCAATAAATAGCTGGTAAAATCACAAATGAATAAATATGTCATCATCGAGAGTTGAGGACAGTTAGTCTACAGCAGTGCCAGAGCTGACATCTGTCAGAGGAAGTATGGGCATTTGTGTTTCGATGCTGCACGTGTCTGTGCAGGGCCACTTCTTCCTTGAGGCTGTGAGGCCTCGGTGCACACAGCAGGCCGTGAGTTTCAGTATTTCCCTGCTATGTGTCCCCATGTTGGGGGTATGTGTCTTTTATCACTCCCACTGTGGCCAGGTTAGACTTTGGTATTCCTCACAATCATGGCTAGAGTCTCGCCCCCTCCTCTTGGCTCGGTCCTGGGGCTACAGGTCAGGCATGAGGCCTGAAGGTGCTATGACCCCAAATGCCATCTGCATCTGACTGAGGCTGCTGTCCTGTCCTCTGGCATCCTGGAGCAGTGGAGGTAGCCGAATGGCATATGTCCAACACTCTGTTCACCACGCGGGGGGCCGAGGAGGAGCCCCTGTCCTGGGCGGGGCTCAGGGCGGCGTGGCTTGTGTGTTCAGCTTCATGGTGGTCGCCTTCTGAGCCTTTTGTAGCTTGTATTTCTTGATCTTCCGCTGGTGGTTATAGATGTAAGCCGCGGACGCCACAGCACCCACGGTGGCTAAGATTGTCACCACAACGATGACCACTATATTCTGGTGGTCTGAGTCTGTCGGGAAGACACAAGGGGTGGTGAGGACAGAGCCAGGCTCCCTGCCCCTACCCCACCCAGCCCTGCACACTGGCACACTCACAAGTCACTGTCACGGACACCTCCCGGGTGAGCTCCCCACGACTGCTGATGGCCCGGCAGACGTAGGTGCCCGAAAGATTCCGTGTGACATAACTCAGGTTGCCGATGGGCAGCAAAGCCCCATCCTTTTCCCGGGAACAGTTCAGGTGGGGGGACGGGTTCCCCCGGGCCTGGCATCTCAGAGTCTGCTGGGAGCCTTCTTTCCACGTCCAGTTTCCCGGGCAGTCCCTCTCATCCAGCCAGGGGCCGTCTGAAGAGACACAAGATGACGGATTGAGGTCAGGGACCAGGACACCCCTCCCCATCTAGGACTGAAGGACTTAGGTAGGAAAATGGGGAGGGGGCTCCCTAAGGAACAGGGCTTGAAGGACGAAAGCTTATGGGACTTCAGAGATTGGGCCTCAGAGGACAGGGGTCATTGTCTCGCAGCCCCACTCACACAGGACACGGAGCTCCCGGGTCCGGTTCTTCTGCAGCACCTGCCCGGCCACCTCCAGGGCAGCAGAGCAGGAGAAGCGGCGGCCGTTGTCCTCAGCGCTGGCGTTCAACAAGAATTGGGCCAGCGGGCCTGGTGGCCCCGCTGGAACCCCACTGAGCGTCACCACGGCTTCAGCTTGGGCCTGGCACTCCACGATCACCTCCGTCCCTTCTGAAACCTCTGGCTTGCTCAGAGTCAGGGTGGGCTCTGGGAAGCCTGGGGGCGGGGCACACAGTGAGCCACGCCCCGTACATGCCCCGCCCATGTGGAAGCCCCGCCCCCTGGGAAGCCCCGCCTCTGCCCCTTCTTACTGTAGACGGTCACGCTCTGGCGAGTCTCCCGGCTCTGGTTCCCCAGCATCACCGCGCACGTCAGCTGGTGGGAGCCCTCCTCCTCTGCCTTCGCCTCGAGCGGGGCCTTGGCCGAGAGGGAGTCCCTGTGGTACGTGATCGTGGGATCCAGCCTCCGGTCCCCCAGTGCCAGGTGAACCTGGGCCTCTGAGACTGGGAACAGCCCGTCCAGAAAGCAGACCACGGTCCCCTGCGTGCCCATCTCCAGGACCCAGGGGCTGTCAAGTTGCGGGCCAGTCGACGGCAGGACTAGGGACAGAAAGTGGGTGTGAGCAGATGGGGGCGGACGTCCTGAAGCCCTTTCCTGAGCCGTTTTCATTTCATTCCCCCACCCGAGACATCCTCTTCCCGGGAGACTCGGTCATCCCTGTCCCAAGACACAGGCACCCTTAGCTGGAGTCACAGCCTTCTCGGAAGATTCTGCGGCCATGGGCACCCCATTGCAGGGCACCCCACCCTCGCCCTGCTGGCCCCCCAGTGCCTCACCGAAAGTTCGGAGCTGATGGGGGGCTGAGGTGTTCTCGAATAGTCCCAGCCCTAGGGGCCGCAGATCCAGTTCTGCGCGGCAGGAGAAATTCAGTCCATGGTCGCTTCTGGCCACCGGCACGGTGGCCGTGACCTCGGCGGGCTCCCCCACCACCGGCTGCCGGTTCAGCTCCTCCTCCCCACGGAGAAACACCACGGTGAGGTTGGACCGAGGCGCCCCTCCAGTCACCTGGCAGTGCAGGGTGAGGTTCTCGCCAACAGGCTGCCACGGGGGCAGGGGTGCCAGCTCCACCTGATCCGGGCACCCTGCAGGGAAACAGAGCGGGGCGTGTCCCTGTGAGCCGGACCGCACTGCCGGGCCACAGACTGGTCACACCTGCCAGGAAGCTCTACGACTTCGCTTCCCCATCTCCCCAAAACACACCCTTCCACCTAAGCAGACAGGAATGTCAAGAGCTTTGGGGAAACTGGTGAGAAAGCCCCAAGTGTTTGCAACCGGGACCAAAAAATTCATTCAGGGCAGCAGTTTCTTGCTTTTTTTTTCTTTTTTTCCTTTGTTCCTTCCTTTCTTTCCTTCCTTTTCTTTCTCTCTCTCCCTCCCTTCCTTTCTTTCTTCTTTTTTTGTTTTTATTTTTGTTGTTGTTGTTTTTTTGTTTTGTTTTGTTTTCAGAGACAGAGTCTCACTCTGCTCTGTCACCCAGGCTGGAGCGCAGTGGCTGGATCATAGCTCCCTGCAGCCTTGAACCCCTGGCCTCAAGCGATCCTCCTGCCTCAGCCTCCCAAAGTGCTGGGGCTACAGGCCTGAGCCACCATGTCTGGCCCCCCATCTTAGAATGGAAAGTGGAAAAGAACTTCAAACTCTATCACCAGGAGTCTGGTCAAATAAATCTAATAAATTTCAGCAGCCCAGTCCACTAGACATTGTTTTAAAAAGACCCTTCTTGGCCGGGCGCAGTGGCTCAGGCCTGTAATCCTAGCACTCTGGGAGGCCGAGGTGGGAGGATCACTTGAGCTCAGGAGTTTGAGACCAGCTTGAGCAATAGCAAAACACATTCTCTACTAAAAATAGAAAAATTAGCTGGACATCGCGGCCGTCATGGTGCACACCTGTAGTCCCAGGTAACCCAGGAGGCTGAGGCAGAAGGATTGATCAATTGAGCCTAGGAGTTTGAGGTTACAGTGAGCTATGATCATGCCACTGCACTCCAGGCTGGGCAACAGAGCAAGACCCTATCTCTAAATAAAATAAAAAATTAAAATGGTGCTATTAGAGGTAGGACTATTATTAATCCACTTCACAGGTTGAATCACTATAAATGGACAGGAGGTTTCATTTTTAGGGTGATGGAAATGTTTCAAAATTAGATTGTGGTCATGGTTGCACAATTCTATAAATACACTAAAAAAATCACTGAATGGTATACTTAAAAAGGATGAATTTTATAGCATATAAATCATATCTCAAGAAAACTGTTGGCTGGGTGCAGTGGCTCACACCTGTAATCCCAGCACTTTGGGAGGCCGAGGGAGGATTGCTTGAGGTCAGGAGTTTGAGGCTGCAGTGAGCTATGATGTCGCCACTGCACTCTAGCCCTGGGGACAGAGGAAGACTCTGTCTCATAAAAAAAAAAATAAAAAATAAAAAAAGCTGTTAAAAAGTATAATAAGGTCAAGAAAACCCTAAGGCATCAATTCTTACCTCTAACCACCTGCTATAAACCTTCAGGTGCAGAACTCGAGGTGTTGCCAACCCCCAAAGGAAACTCAGCAATTGCCTGAGCCCAGCTCCCGGCCTTGAGGGCCAGCAACTGGGGGCAGGGAGTCTGTCCTGCCCCTACCTGTCCTTGACTCTGATCTAAAGTCCTTTACAAAATCCTGGTCATTCCGCTCTTCAAATATTTGTATACCTCTCTCTTCTTGGATACAGTTACTCTCCACAACATGGGCAGTGTGGATAAAGCCTGCAGCCAACGGCTCTCTGGTTTCCTGTAAGTCCAGCCTTCTGCTATCGAATGCCTATCTTTACGAACTCCTACACATCCTTCGAAGCCCAACTAGTGATCACCTCCTCTGGGAATTATATCTCTAACCTTTCTGGAGAAGGCTCAGCTATTCGTCATCTTGACACCAGGGGTGGCGCAAGACCAAGCTAGAGTCATGTCTCCTAGGTGACCCTTAGGCCCTTACCTTTCACCCCCTTGCTACTGTGTGGGACATCCATGGTCACAGAGGGAGAAATGTGGCAGAGCCAGGCCTCAGAGCTAGAGCACTGGGCAGAGATGCAGACAGTCCTTCAAAGAGCTTTCCCTGGGGTTTCAGAGGTCACTGAGAACATTTGGGGACCTCCCTCACTTGGGAGGACAATGGCCAGCAACTGCTCAAACATCCTCCAGATCAGAAGCAAAGCTGCTATTTTCCCAAAGGCTGCCTTTGCCCCAGCATCATGACAGTGGGTCGTCCTTTCTGCCTCACTGAATCATTACACCCCTCGGAGGGGGTTGCACGTGACAGCAGAGGACAGCAAGTAACCACGTCCCCCAGGTCACCCAGCTATGGAGGGACATGCTGGGACTTGGAATCCAAGGCTAATTCCAAAGCCACTTGACCAGTTCTCTTCCGTTTTTCTTCCTTGTTTTTTCTTTCGTTTCATTTTCCTTTGGATTATATTTATTTATTTATTTTTTGCCTTGGCAACTCATTCTCACTGTTCAAAATCCCAAGGTAGGAAAGGGTCCAACAGAGAAAATTCTGCACTCCCCAGCCCTCTCTCAGAGCCTCTCTCCTCACAGCCAATTAATATTGTCATTTCTTGAATGTCCTTTTAAGGCTCTTTTATGCATAAATACAGCCTCTCCCTCCTTCCTCCCTGCCGCTCCCTAACTTGAGAGTGGCATGCCACACATATTCGGCATAACTTTCTTTCTTTGCAAATTTCTAGTACACCTTGGAGCTCACTCGTTCTTTTGCACAGTTGCATACTATTCCTCGGTACAGCCAAACCACAGTTTCTCTCCCTGGGCCTCCACATTTGAGGTTTGCAAACGTTTGCCCCTCGAACAAAGCTGTAGTGGGAGGGTCACTTGAGCCCGGGAGTTCAAGGTTGCAGTGAGCTATGATCATGCCAACGCCCTCATGACCAGACAGCAGAGCAAGACCCTCTCTCCAAAACACAAAACAAAACAAAAAACAGCTTCAGTAACTAACCCCAGGTCTCCACCAGTTCCCTCATGGGCAGGGCCACATGTAGCCCTGTCCTAGGACTGCCCAAGTCCCCTCGGCCTGGCCAACACAGCTGCTATCAATTCTTTGGATCATTGCCAATATGCAAAAAAATGCCATCTCAGGGCTAGCTTTAATTTGCATTTTTTTTTTTTTAATAGAGATGGAGTTGGCTGGGGCGCAGTGGCTCACGCCTGTAATCCTAGCACTCCGGGAGGCCGAGGCAGGTGGATCATCTGAGCTCAGGGGTTCGAGACCAGTCCGAGCAAGAGTGAGACCCCGTCTCTACTAAAAATAGAAAGAAATTAGCTGGACAATTAAAAAAATATATATATAAAAAATTAGCCAGGCATGGTGACGCATGCCTGTAGTCCCAGCTACTGGGGAGGCTGAGGCAGGAGGATCGCTTGAGCCCAGGAGTTTGAGGTTGCTGTGAGCTAGGCTGACGCCACGGCACTCTAGCCCGGGCAACACAGTGAGACTCTGTCTCAAAAAAAAAAAAAAAAATATAGAGATGGGGGTCTCACGATGCTGCCCAGGCTGGATTTGAACTCCTGGACTCAAGCCATCCTCCCAGCCCAGGCTCCTGGGAACACAGGCATGGCTTAATCTGTATCTTTTTTCAAAGTGTCGTTACCAGGGGCTTGTCATGTGTTTAAAGAATGAGGCGGAGAGAGCTGGCATTCTCAGATGTGCTAAATTTCTGTGGATGCTCTAAATGCATGCATAGAGGTTCACCAAGGGACTTCCAAATGACAACGGGACTTTCCAAGGATGTCCCCACATGCTCTTCGGTGAGCCCCTCCCTGGCCCCACCACCAAGCGACAAAGACTCTCCCAGCCTGCTGGAGTTGGCCCTGTAGGTCTCCCCCACCCAGTCTGCCTGGTCCAGCCCCCTGGGCCCTGCCACTCACAGTAAACGGTGAGTGAGGCTGAAGCCATTGTCTGGTGACCGTCGCAGACTGAAAAGCATATCAGATTGCTGTCTTGATGCACGCTGCTCAGTTCATAGGCCCTCCAGTTGTTTCCACGGGCCACCTCTGTTTTAGCCAAGTCGGTCTCCAGGCCTAAGGTGGCCTGCTGGTCACAGGAGGAGCTGCAGTTGACTTGTACCGATCCTCCTCGGGGCAGCGTGGCCTTTTGGGGGAAGACAAACGTTTGTGCACCTCCAGGTCCTGGAACAGAAAGGCGAAGAGGGGACAGGCGTTACAAATCATGTTCATCGACATAACATGACAGTGTGCCCAGCCTGCGCTGGGGGCTGGGGACACAGGCTCGAACAAGACAAAACGCTCTGCCTTCCGTGTGGGAGATGGAAGCATTTCATGAACAAACAAGATAATTAAGAACTGATGTTAATATGAGATATGAAGAAAACAAAATAGGGCGATAGAATGGAGAGTGCCTTGGGGGCAGGGCGATGTCTCAGCAGAGATCTGAGTGCCCAGAAAGGCCTGGCGAACCAGAGGAAAGGGAAGTGGATGCCCAGCAAAAGCAATAGCAAGTGCAAAGGTCCTGGGGCAGGGTGGAATGAGTTTGGGAAGGTCACATGGGCACTGTAGTCCATGCTAACAATATTTTCTTTATTCTGAGGGCAATAGGGAGCCCAAGGAAGGATTTTAGCAGAGTCAGTTTTAATGTGAAGTCAGGCCAAGCCTGGTGGCTCACGCCTGTAATCCCAGCACTTTGGGAGGCCAAGGTGGGAGGATTGCTTGAGGCCAGGAGTTCCAGACCAGCCTGGGCCACATAGCAAGACCCTGTCTCTACAAAAATATATTTTTTAAATTTTTTTAAATTAAAAATCAGCTGAGCATGGTGGCACATGCCTGTAGTCCAAGCTACTCAGGAGGCTGAGGTGGGAGGATCGCTTGAGCCAAGGAGTTGGAGGCTGCAGTGAGCTATCATGATGCCACTGCACTCCAGCCTGGGTGACGGAGTAAGACCCTGCCTCCAACACAAAGAAAACTCCACTCAAAACGCAAACCAAAACATGAAGTCAGAGCCCTCCTCCCTCCCAAGAGGCCAGGCGGAGGGGGCCAGCCCTCCAGTAATCATCCTGGCTCCTCATTCCCTTGGACAAGTACTTTCCCCTCTCTAGGCCTCAATTTTCCCATCTGTAAAATGGGCGACTATAGTCACCCCCACCTCCTGCTAATGAAAATAACTCAGCACAGGGCAGGTAGCAAGTGGCTACCTTGCACTTAAGAACAGGTAAGAAAGAAGGGGCTTGTTCTGATTAGATCTGTCAGACTCTGGTGCCTCCAAAGCTGAAAAAAAAGTCTATCTGAGCCCAGGCCTCCTAGCCTCCCCTTAAAGATTCCTGTCCTCAGATTTGCTCTATCTGGGGCGGAGGTGTGTGAGAACATCAGCTCTGTAAGTTCTCCAAGGGGGATTCTGGAATTATTCCCATTTCACAGAGGGAAGCAGTGAGGCCAGGAGAGGGGCGATAACTTGGGTAGAAAGCAGTGGATAGCAGTGGAGTCCGCATCCGAGTCCGGATCAGAACCCTTTGTAGAGCTGTTAACCAAGGTGTCCGTTCCCCTGTCCTGCTTCCCCAAAGTGACCATCTCTAGCGACCCTCTGCCCTGCTTGCCGCTTCCCTAGCTGGGCTGGAGTTGGGGGAGGGGAGTGCTGGGGCGTCCTTCTCAGGTCTCGGCCCCCGGGTAAGTCAGCCCTGGAATTCCCCCAGTAGAAGCAGCCCAGGACTTCCCCAGGGGCAGAGGATGAGGAACAGAATATGTCTTTGGGGTGGGGTGTCCTCCAGCCTACTTGGCTGGGAGGGGAGGGGAGAGAGAGGGAGGGAGGGTAAGTCCCTAAACCATCTGACCGCGTCCTGGAGCCAGACCAGGTGGCCGCTGTCGCGTTCCCCATTTTACAGCTAGGGAAACTGAGGTTCAAGAAGGCGCAGTCTATAGCCCGAGCCCACAGGTAGAGGACTTGAACCCTCGGCTGTTGTTGGGCTGTTGATTGAATTCCAATCGCCAGCTCTAGCCCCACCTCCCCCTAAACAGCTACTCCGGGGAGCTGGTCCTCTCGCGGCGCCCAGGGCGCAGCGGGGATCCGGGGAGCTGGCCCGAGGGCGCCCACCCCACCCCGACTCACCTGGGAGCAGAGCTCCGAGCAGGGCCAGGAGCGCAGGCAGGGCGGGCAGGGCGTCACCGGGAGCCATAGCGGGCCGAGGCAGGGCCAGGGCGACAGCAGCGAAAGGCAGATGTGCGCGGCGCGACTGGGGCACAGAGGAGCGCGCGGGTCCCTTTATAGTCTTTAGCCAGGGGGGTAGGGGGGCGGGGCCGCTTTCCCGGAAATCTCGAGCCTTCCCCTCCGGAACGAGGGCCTTTCCGGACCAAAGTGTGCCTGGCCCGAGCCCGGTCATCCTCCTTCGCCCACCGCTTGGGCGCCCCCGGAATTTCCCAACTGAAGCAATGGGGTGGCTGTGGCCGCAGCAGCGGGACGGCGACTCCGGGGGTTGTCCGGACCCCCACGCGTCCCATCCCTGGGCTGGGCTGAGCTTGACTCGCTGTTTACACTTCAATAAGCGCTTTATTGAATACTGCCCACTACCCTGGACAAGGACGGACTGTTATTGTGCCCATTTCGCAGAGTGGTAAACTGAGGCTCCGAGCTGAGCAGCGATCCGAACTCACGTTTTAACTCCCCAGCTCACGCGGGCCTCTTTAATCGAGGGGACGAGCCCCTCGCTTGGGTAGGGGGCCCAGGAATCCTCCTGGGGCTCCCTCCGAGGGGCATGTCCCCGGCCAGCTGACACAGACTTCCCGAGAAGCGCCAGAACAGGCCCAGGCACCTCCTCGGCGCCCAGGAGCCGTGGGAGTGAGGATGCGCGGCCGCATCACGTCCGGGGGAATCAGCCTTCTTCCCCCTGCCACCCATGGGTGCTCCCGCCCCCGCGGTCTCCTCGCTTCCCCTTTTGGCCTTGGCGGCGGGGGGCGTCTTTACAGCTCCCAGAAAAAGGAAGGAAGCCACGTGGTCCCGACGCGCTGAGCCTGTTCTGCTGGTGTCTCAAGCAAGCTCTGCGGGGAAACTGAGGCAGCAGCTCAGACCTGAACGAGGAAGGGGAGACGGGGCGCTCGAACCCCTGCCCTCCGCGAGCGGCACCCGAAACTCGGACTCGGGGGGTCTGCGCTGAGTATGTGCGGGGGTTTGGCCACCGCCTGCGCGTGGGACAAGATTCGTCCGTCATCCCCTACGGGGAGGCCGGGACTCCGAGCACCGCGCCGCGCCGCCTAAGGCTTCCTGTTATGGGGCGCGTTTGGCGTCGCCATGGAGACCTCGCAGCGGCCAAACAGGTCGCGCCCCAGAAGGGGACAGGAAGGGTCCTGGGGGCGCGCGGGCCCTTCCTCCGGGGCAAGGGGGCTGAGAGTCACCCGCCGTCCAGAAACGCGTCCCTCCCCCCGCCCCGGTCATTCCTAAGGAATTTCCACGGGGATCTTTTTCTTGGGGGTGGTGGCTGCAGGGACTGGATTCCCGCCCCGGAACGGCCTGGGCAAAGTCACGGAGTGGAGCGGGGATGTCCCGCCCGGTTATTTTCGGGCGATTTTTCTCCGGCTCGTCTTACCCGGGTCTGTGGCTCCGGCCCGAGGTGCGCGGGTGGCGAGCTCCCCCGCGCGGCCAAAGCGCCAATTGCAGCCACAACAAAACAAAACAAAACAAAACAAGGAAACGTCCTTTTCTCAACACGAGGCGCAGTATTTATTAAGCACCTACTGTGTGCCAGGCATCCTTCCAGGTGCTGGGGACACAGCAATGAACAAAATAGACAAAACTCCTTGCCATCGTTTAGGGGTCGTCTTAATAAGGGCGACAGACAAGAAACAAAAATAAAATATATGGAGTGTTAGTTTGTGATTAGTGCTAAGGAGAAAAAATAGAGCAGGGAAGGGGATTATGAAATGAGAGGGTTAACGAATAACCCGTTTTGTTTTTTTTTACGGTAGAAACGGCCTTTATTGGTTGCAAGGCGAAGTGTAAGGGGAGGGGATAGGGCAGCTCCCGCTCCTGGGGAGGCGTCTGTAGTCTCTGCTGCCGCCCTCGGAAAGACCAATGAATAACCCTTTTTTCCTGATTTTTATTTCTTTTTCGTTTAGAGACAGGGTGGTCTCGCTCTGTCACCCAGGCTGGAGTGCAGTGGCGTGATCATAGCTCACTGCAGCCTCAAACTCCTGGGCTCCAACGATCCTCCTGCCTCAGCCTCCAGAATAGCTGGGACTACAGGCGTGCGCCACCACGCCTGGCTAATTTTTTAAAAAATCTTTTTATAGAGATGGGGTCTCGCTATGCTGCCCAGGCTGATCTTGAATTCCTGGTCTCAAGGGATCCTCCCACCTCAGCCTCCCAAAGTGTTGGGATTACAGGTGTGAGTCATCATGCCTGGCCCAATAACCCTTTAAAATAGAGTATTCTGGAAAGACTTAGTGAGGTGACATTTGTGCAAAGACCAGAAGATGAGGAAGGATGTACCAAGCAGAGGGCACCGAGAAAGTGCAAAGACCCTGAGGTAGGAACTGTCGGGGGTCTGGTGTGGCCGGAGCAGGGTGAGCGAAGGAGAGAATTGGAGGACAGAAGGGCAGGGAAGTGACCGAGCAGATTGTGCAAGTGCTTGTCACCTGGGGTCACACTTTGGCTTTTACTCCCAGCGAGGTGGGAGCCATAGAGGGTTCTGAGCAGAGGAGGGACCTGATGCGACTTAGGTGTTCACAGGTGCAGGAGCTGCAGCTGGGAGACAGGAGTGGAGGCGACTGCTCTAGTCCAGATGAGCAATGATGGGACCTGGACTTGGTAGTGGCCTTGGAGAAGCCCTTGAATTGGGCATCGGTTTTGGAGGCTGGGCCAACTAGACATGCTGGGACACGAGGGATGACTCCTTGGTCTGGGCTGAGTCCCTCGGAGGATGGAGGGCCGTTTCCTGAGATGAGGATAGGATGGGAAGGGGGGCAGGTTGGCACGGGGAACACCCACTTCCCAGTCTTCCACTCCCTTGGAAGTGGGAAGGGAAGCAGATGTTCCCCAGCCCCCTGCCGCAGTCTGCAGGAAGGGCAGGGCTTCCTCTCGGGTGCCAGGCAGTCTCAGGCAGGCCAAGGATTGGGCCCGCTGCAGACCAGGGGGTATGGACCCAGGGCACAAGCATCCAAGCCCCACTCCACGGCCTTGCGCCTTCTTTCCTCACACTCTGAGCTCTGGCGTGGCAACCTTGCAGTTCCCTCAGCCTGGAATGCTGTTCCCCTCATCCCCGACAGGGTCGGCTCCTTCTTTCTTGTGGCCTGAGCCTCCTCTTAAATGAACGCCTTCCCGCTCCATCCCAAGCCACACCCTGGTCACTCCCTGTCACTTGCCCTACTGAACTGTCACTTGCACTTACTGAACTCATCACTTGCTGAAAATTCTTTTGATGTATTTGAATGGCTGTCACCTCCGTTTCTGCGAGCTCCAGAAGAGCAGGGAGCCTGCCAGCCCCAGCCCCTGAATCAATATCTGGCCCTAATAGACGTGATCAGTACATATTTGTTGAATGAATGAACTCGTCTTGTCTCTGAGCATTCTGCACATGCTCTTTCTCCAGCATAGAATTCCCTTCCCACCGCTTTTACCAAAAGCCCCCAGAGCTCCGCCTAGGCTGAGGTTCTCATCCAGGCTCTGTTACTTGCCAGCTGTTTTAGTTTAAGTTCCCCCAAAAGGAGACACTGAGACAAGGGAGGGAATGCAGGTGATGCCACTGGCTTGGTGGGGCAGTGGGTAGCCAAGGAAGGCAAGGCGAGGCAGCCAGGAGAGGCGAGCATTAGTGGGTTGCCCCTTTGGGGACAGCTGGGGCTCGGTCCCACTGGAGAGCTGTGGAAGACGCCTACACTCTACATCAAACCTGTCCTTTATTGAGTGAGGGCTGTGCGATTTTTTTTTAGAGATGGGGTCTCACTATATTGTCCAGCCTGGTCTCAAACAACTGGCCTCCAGCAATCCTCCCACCTTGACCTCCCAAAGTGCTGGGATTACAGGCATGAGCCACTGCACCCAGCCCATCCTTTAATGGAGATAAATTCACATAACATCAAATTCATCATTTTCACATTTTTAAAAGTTTTTAGTATTGTCACAAGGTTGTACAACCATCATCGCTAATTCTGGAATATTCCCATCACCCCCCAAAAAAACCTGGTACAGTATCTCTCAGTCCCCTCTGTTGCCACCTTGTCGTATCCCCTACTACTCTCTATAGAGTTGTCTATTCTGGACATTTCATATGAATAGAATCATACAATAGATGGCTTTTATTTATTTATTTATTTCTGAGACAGCACCTCACTCTGTCACCCAGGCTAGAGTGCCGTGGTGTCATCATAGCTCACTGCAACCTCAGACTCCTGGGCTCAAGCGATCCTCCTGTCTCAGCCTCCCGAGTGGCTGAGCTACAGGCTCAGTGCCACCATGCCCGGCTCATTTTTCTATTATTCGTAGAGACGGGTTCTTGCTCTTGCTCAGGCTGGTCTGGAACTCCTGGCCTCAAGCGATCCTCCCGCCTTGGCTTCCCAGAGGGCCACACTTTTTGGGTATTATGAATCATCCTGCTGTGGACATTCATGTACAAGTTTTTGAGTAAACATGTTTTCGATTCTTTGGCATGTATACTAGGAGTGCAAGTCCTGGGTCATGTGGTAATTTTACGTTTAACTTTTTGAGGACCTGCCAGACTGTTTTCACATTCCCATCAGCAATGGACAAAGATTCAACGGTTCCTATTTCTTTGCATCCTTGCCAACATTTTCCCTTTATTATCATTACCATGACTAACCTAGTGGGTGTGAAGGGGGTAGCTTGTTGTGGTTTCCCAGCATTTCTGACCTTCCAGCGAGCAATTCCAGCGTGAACCCGAAGGGCACACACGATGAGATGGCTGAAGCATCTGCTACAAGGCGTGACCTTGAGCAAGCCTACGTGTAACTTCGGGACCAGCTGAAACTGATTAACCATTGCTTAAGTTGTTACAGATGGAACAGAGCCGGAATTGCAAGGCATGGAGCCCGGGCATGCGCAACGGAAGAAAGCTGCCATCTCCTAATTGTTAACATGTTGGCATTAACTTGGGACTAGTCAGAAATGCCATAAAAGGCTGACCCACCCCCAGATCGGGGAGACGGATTTGAGAGTTGTCTCCTTATCAGTTGACCCGTGATGAAGTTTTTCTTTTCTCAAAAGCAGGTGCCATGGTATTGGCTTCTATGTGCATCAAGCAGTGAGTCCATTGCTCGGCAGATCGCTTGAAGCCAGTAGCTCCAGAGCAGCCTGGGCAACATAGTGAGACCCCATCTCTACGAAACATAAAAAAAGATTATCTGGGCATGGTGGTGCATGCCTGCAGTCCCAGCTACTCGGGAGGCTGAGGCAGGAGGATCGCTTGAGCCCAGTAGTTGGAGGTTGCAGTGAGCTATGATTGTGCCACTGCACTCTAGCCGGGGCAACACAGCAAGACCCTGTCTCAAAAAAAAAAAGATGAGGCCAGGTCAGGTGGATCCTGACCCAACATGATTGGTGTCTGTATAAAAAGAGCAAATTTGGACACACAAGAAAAATATACACGCAGGGACAACACCATGTGAAGATGAAGGCAGAGATTGGGGTGATGCTTCTACAAGCCAAGGAACACCAAAGATTGTCAGGAAACCACGAGAAGCTAGGAGAGAGACCCAAAACCAATCTCCTCAGAGCCCTCAGACGGAAACAGCCCTGCCCACACTTCCATCTTGGATTTTCAAAATTCATTCATTCATTCATTCATTCATTTAGAGTCAGGGTCTTGCTCCGTTGCCCAGGCTAGAGTGCAGCGGCGTCATCATAGCTCACTGCAGCCTCAAACCCGCAGCCTCAAACCCCTGGGCTCAAGCGATCCTCCCGCCTCAGCCTCCCAAGTCACTGGGACTACAGATGCGCCTGCCTGCCCCAATTATTTTAAAGCACACTGTAGACATAGTATCATTTGTTCCGATGTCTTTTTCCACCCTGGATCTAGCTGAGGGATTTCACTGCCAGGGAACAGGTTGTGACCCATTTCTTTTGAAATCCATATGGGCAGCGGCTAGTCTCCACCCTGTGATGTAGACCGAACCACGTTTGTACTTCTAGCTACAACTATCCAGGTGGTTCCTACTCTAGGTCTTGGTGTCCCCACGGGGTGGCGAGAGGCACAGCTGAGAGGTGTCATTTTCTGCCCAGCCTTGGTACCCCTTTAACTGGTTCCAACAGCTTTTTCTGTTTCACTTAGTCAAATCTGGTGCTTTTTTTTTTTTTTTTTTGAGACAGAGTCTCACTGTGTTGCCTGGGCTACAGTGCCGTGGCGTCATCCTAGCTCACAGCAACCTCAA